AAACTTTTTGACCCCATTGTTGTTTCAGAGCACATTGTTTAATTTTCACCTAATTCAAAACTTTCCATAATGCCTCCTTTTATTGACTTCTCCTTTTATAATGCCATTGTTGTCAGAAAAGGTACTTGATATTATTTCAGTCTTCTTGAATTTGATGACTTGTTTTATGGCCTAACATATGATATAATCTGAAGAATGTTTATGTGCATTTGAGATGAATATGTTTTGTTGTTGTTATGTAGAATGTTCTTTATATTTCTGCTCAATCTGTGTGGTATAAATTATTGTTCAAGTTTAATATTTCCTTATTGATATACTGTCTGGGTGATATGTCTAAATGTTGAAAGTAAGGTATTGATATCCCTACTATTACTGTGCTGCATTCCACATCTCCTTTCAGGTCTCTCAATGTTTACTTTTATATTTAGTTGCTCTGATGTTGATTGCATATATATGTTTACAACAGTGACATTATCTTGACGAATTGACCCCATTATCATTATGTAATACCTTCTTTGTTCCTTTATGCAGTTTTTCCTTTGTCTATTTCTTCTGAAATAAGTATAACTCCCTATGTTCTCTCTTAGTTTTTATTTTTATAGATTTTTTCTATTCCTTCACTGCAATCTATGAATGTACGATACAGTGAAATAAGTGAATTGTAAGCAGTTTATAATTGGGTATTAATTTTTAATTTATTTGGTCATTCTATGCCTTTTGATTGTAGAATACATTCCAGTTTTATTTAAAGTAATTTTTGACAGGTAAGTATGTACTAGTGGCAATTTGTTAATTGTGTTTTTGTTGTGATTTTTTTAATTCTTTGTTTCTATCTCTCTTGCTTGCTTTATTCATGCCTTGATATCTTTCTGTAGTCGTATGCTTAGGATTTTTTCTTTTAATCTTTTGTGTATCTATTAGAGGTTTTGCTTTGTGGTTATCCGCAGGCGTATATAACATATCTTTTAAAAGTCTATTTTAAGTTGTTAACAATTGAATTCTGATTACATATAAAATCTCTAAATCTTACTCTGCTCCTCCTATGTTTTTTATCTTTGATGGCATCCTTTACATCTTTCTAGAATTCATACCTCTTAACAAAGTATTGTGCCTTAAGTTGTTCTTAGTAGCGTTGCCTTTTAACTTTATGCTAGCTATAATTCCCCATCACCATTACAGTATTAAAGTGTTTGGATTTCATATCATACTTACTTTTACTAGTAATTTTTATACTTTAACATCTTCATGTTACTATTTAGCATCCTCTTCTTTCACCTTCAAGAGCTCCCTTTAGCATTTCTCGTAAGGCAAAATAGTGTCCTTATACTCTCTCAGCCTTTTTTAATCACAGAATTGTAGAATCTGGAGTTATTGTTTGGCAGTTATTTTCTCTCAGTATTTTGGGTATATCATTCTACTTATGTCCTGTAGGGTTTCTGTTGAATAATCCACTGATAGTCTTGTGGAAATTCCATTTTATGTGACCATTCACTTTTTATTTGCTGCTTTCAACACTTCATCTATAACTTTTGATAATTTGATTGTGTTTTATCTCCAAGGGAGTATCTTTTATTAAACTTATTTGATTTCCTTTGTCAATTTCTGGAGACTCATCTTGTTCTTTGGTTTGGAGTATATTTTTGTTTTTTTTTCTTTTTTCCTTTAACTCACAGTGTTTCTGTGCAATGGATAAAACAATGGCCTTTCTCAGTCTTATCAGACTGGCATCACATAGTGGAAAGATCTCACTAATTTTTCCAGCCAGAAATTTTCATGTGCCTCTCAAGTCTTTGTGCATACTGCTGTCTCTTATTTTTGGTGGCCCTCTGGAGGTCAGAATGTGTCACATCTGGTCAGTACCTGGCACAAATAAGGTAGGAGCCAGGCTCTCTACGTGTAGCTGAAAATTTTGAGGCATTGGCTGTGTATTTCACTTCTTTCTGCATTCATCGTGAGAATAAATGTGGGGGCTTATCTCACAGTCTCTCCGTATTCCACCAGGTAAGGACCCTGTGGCTAATGCCTGTACTAATATTCAGGCTGCACACTGTGATCCTGAAGAAGTAGCTGCTGCTAAAAATGAGTTCATTGTATTACCACCTTTTTGTATTCTGTGATGTAGGGCCTTTCAGGAATGCAAATCCCTATCACCTCCCAGAGTGAGTTTATTAAGGAGACAATGCCTTGAGTCAGGGCTATAGACATAATGACATTTGAAGGCATGGCTAAACTTGGTCCAGGAAGAATGGGAAATCTGAATTAACCATTGGGGTGAGCCTCATGAAGTCCCAAATTTTGGCTTTGGCTGTGGGAAGATTATTGTTTGTTTGCATCATTAGCTGCCCTGTGCAAGCTCTATAGAAGCCAGGTTATTAAGTAGCCAGTGGAAGCATGTGCCCTAAGCCCTTTCTGGAGAGAAATGGAAATCAAACATTCTCTTCCCTTTTCCACACTGCTCCAATTTGGCGTCGCCTCTGGTGTTTTTACATGCCATCTGAAGACCACCTCTTTGCTTTATGATCTAAGCAGACTGGTATATTCCTAGTATGTACTGCTGTGAGAGTTAAGAGTTTCAGGATGGAGTCCTTTTAGAGGTAACTGTAAAAGTTGTAGCACTTGATGGATGACTTAAACCTTTCTGGGGATAAACAGGGAGCTGTATTTTTATTTTATTTGAAATATTTTCTCATTTGTCTTGTGCTATGTCTGTTGATGATCAATTGTATTGAAGTTTACAGTCTAATTTCTAAATATTTGTTTATCTAGATAACTTATTTTTACTGGTTTCTAATTTTATTCTGTTGTGAAAGTATACAGAGAAAATTTCAGTATTTTAAAACAGTCATTTTTTAATTGCACAACTGATAGTCTACTTGCTGATCATTCTATTTAGAAAAGAAATATGCATACACACTAAGTGTAGAATTAGGCTATAATGGGTCACAATGGTCTTTACATTTAAATTTAGAATTAAGCTATACCGTGTCACAATTTTCTTAAATAAACAATCTCTCTCAATTACTTAGTATCAGAAAATTCTTTAAATTAAATAACAATGATTGCCATCCACATTAAAATCAATGGGATATAGTTGAAACCTAGATGTGTTTTAGCATTACGACATGCATTAGAAGAAAAGAAAAAACAAAATAAAAACAACAGGTACTATAATCAAGAAGGTAGGAACACACACCTAACAAAAATAGAAGGAAAGAGTCATTTAAGCATAAATAGTTCATCATTAATATTAAGAAAAATAAATTAATGAGAATTGTAAAAACGTTAAAATATTGAAAAACATAAAGAAGGCAAAGTTCTTTTGACAAAATATGAAGTACTTTAATTATTATAGGCAAAAAAGAAAATGAACTTATAAATTACAATTAATGAAGTTTTATTCACCCAAATATCTCCCTGAATTGATAACAAAACGTCAGACAATTGAAATAATTGCCATGATTTCCTATAATATGCTTACATAAAGCTTTAGGTGAAGTAGAGCATACTCTGATAGGAGAGAGCAGAATCAAGGAATCATAGGGTGCTGAATGCTCCTAGATGCTTCCAAACTCCTCCATCAGTCAAACAGGACATGCTTCATTTTCATATTATGAAAAAATAAGATATTTCTGATGTATCACAGTTTAACAGGAGTTCAGCTGTGAGATTACAGAGGTGTCTTTATATCTGATTATATAACTAAAGTCAGGCTTTCCCTAAACTGTATAGGTAAGGTAGTAAATAAAAGCTTGAGGTTAGTTTCAAACTTTAAATAGCATACTATAAATCACTAGTGAATATATTTAATGCTTATATTGGTCAAGTGTCAGTAACAAATTGATTATTACCTAAATATAATCTTGCTTCTGGCTAATCAGAATCCATTGGCAGAACATTTTGTGAGGGTTTTAATCCAATTCTGATATATTTGATAATAGATATCAGTTTTTATTTAATGTGTGGAATTCAGTGTGTAATTCCATTAAAACATTCTAAAGTTCCAAAATAATTAAAATTGGTATTACATAAATTATGCAAAATTTATTAAGCAAAGAATGTACAAAAGAACTATAAGAAAGTCTATGAGAATACAAGCCAGAAGTTCTATTATTTAATATAACAGTTACAAAGTTGAAAAGTATAACATATGTATACATAGATGATTATAATAGGTAATAATTTATAAAACAGTTATTGAATTTTATATTATTCTATTTACTCATATAAATTATGATTCTTAATAAAAATGCCTAATTTTAATATTTTTATTTTAATGTTAACTATATGTTTAATATTTTTTAGCGACACAAATACAACTATGCCCACCTCCACCTCAGATTCCCAATTCTCTGAAGATCACAACCACATTGAATTATCAAGACGGAGAAAAAGTATCTGTTCTGTGTCAAGAAAATTATCTAATTCAGGAAGGAGAAGAAATTATGTGCAAAGATGGAAGATGGCAGTCAGTACCACGCTGTGTTGGTCAGTAGTGTATAATTTGTTTTACATAATTCTTTCAAATGAAGTTAATACTCTGTTGTGCTTTGTGTAAGCAAGAGAGACGTTCTTTCTCTATGTCTACTACTTTATCCAGACACAATAAATTAGGATCTAGGCACATTAATCAATCATCTCTTTTTCAGTTTTTTGAACAAAATACCGCCAAAATTTGGAATAATATGTAAATGTCAGATAACATTTCCATTCATGCATATTTTAATCCTCATGATGAATAGGACATGAATGAAAAGGATTATTCAACAAGAAGATGGTAACATAGATATGGTGGAGGAATATATCTTTGCCAGTTTCGATAATGTTTTTGCTTTTAAATAATTTTATTTGCTCAAATTATACTCATTTGAAAGTCCAAAATAGTGTTTGATTTTATATTTCAATTTAAATATTTTATTTGTTCTTGACACTTTGATTTTCATTCTTCATTTAGAAGAAATTCCGTGTTCACAACCACCGCATGTAGAACATGGAACCATTAATTCATCCAAATTTTCAGAAGAAAGTTATGCACATGGGACAAAATTGAGTTTTACTTGTGAAGATGGTTTCAGGATATCTGAAGAAACTGAAATAACATGCTCTATGGGAAAATGGAGTTCTCCACCTCAGTGTGAAGGTTAGGACAATATGAAAACTCAATATCTGTCTATAGTAGAATACATTAAAAATGATCTCTTATTATCAAAGTCAGTGGAGATATATATATATATATATAATAAATATATAAAATTATATACATATATACAAATATAAATACTATATATAAATATATATTATATGCAAATATAAATAAAAATATTATCTAAATGTATAAAATTATTATACCATTAAAATACTTTTTGCATGATTGAATCTATTCTATTTCAGTTAATTTTATTTGTTAATGATAGAATCATTTTTTTATTCTGGCATAAACATATAACATCTAGTGAAATTAAACCTGTCTGTATTAGTTCATCCTCATGCTGCTATAAAGAACTGCCTGACAAAGACAATAAAATACCTAGGAATACAACTAACAAAGGATGTTAAAGACCTCTTCAAGGAGAACTACAAACCACTGCTCAAGGAAATAAGAGAGAACACAAACAGATGGAGAAACATTCCATGCTCATGGTTAGGCAGAATCGGTATTGTGAAATTGGCCATACTACCCAAAGTAATTTATAGATTCAACGCTATCCCCATCAAGCTACCAATGACCTTCTTCACAGAACTGGGAAAAGACCACCTTAAACTTCATATGGAACGAAAAGAGAGCCTGCATAGCCAAGACAATCCTAAGCAAAAAGAACAGAGCTGGAGTCATCAGACTACCTGATTTCCAACTATACTAAAAAGCTACAGTAATCAAAAGAGCATGGTACTGCTACCAAAACAGAGATACCAACCAACAGAACAGAACAGAGGCCCTGGAGGCTATGCCACACATCTATAACCATCTGATCTTTGAAAAACCTGACAAAACAAGCAATGGGGAAAGGATTCCCTGTTTAATAAATGGTGTTGGGGAAACTGGCTAGCTATATGCAGAAAGCAGAAACTGGACCCCTTCCTGACAACTTACACTAAAATTAATTCCAGATGGATTAAAGACTTAAACATAAGACCTAACACCATAAAAACCCTAGAAGAAAAGCTAGGCAAAACCATTCAGGACATAGGCATAGGCAAGGACTTCATGACTAAAATACCACAATCATTGGCAAAAATCCAAAATAGACAAATGGGATCTAACTAAACACCAGGGCTTCTGTACAGCAAAAGAAAAAATCATTAGAGTGAACCGGCAACCAACAGAATGTGAAAAAATGTTTGCAATCTATACATCTGACAAAGGGCTAATATCCAGAATCTACAAAGACCTAAAACAGATTTACAAGAACAGAACAATCAAACCCACATAAAAGTGGGCAAAGGATATGAACAGACACTTTTCAAAAGAAGACATATATGAAGCCAACAAACATATGAAAAAATGCTCATCATCACTGATTATTAGAGAAATGCAAATCAAAACCACATTGAGATACCACCTGATGCCAGTTAGAATGGCGATCATTAAAAAATCTGGAGGCAACAGATGCTGGAGAGGATGTGGAGTAATAAGAACACTTTTACACTGTTGGTGGGAGTGTAAACTAGTTCAACCATTGTGGAAGACAGTGTGGTGCTTCCTCAAGGACCTAGAAATAAAAATTCCACTTGTCCCAGCAAATGGAATATATCTAGTATATATACCTTTGGGTATATACCCAGTAATGGGATTGGGGGGATCAAGGGAGGGATAGTGGTGGGTGGGGAGGTTGGGGAGGGTTTACATGGGGAGAAATGCCACAGGGGATGGAGGCAGCAAACCAAATCGCCATGTGTGTACCTGTGCAACAATCCTGCATGAGCTGCATAGGTACCCCAGAACCTAAAGTGCAATAAAAAATTTTTTTGTTGTTTAATAAAAAAATAGAACAGCCTGATACTGGGTAATTTATGAGGGAAACAGGTTTAATTAGCTCCCAGATCTGCCTGGCTGGGGAAGCCTTAGTAAACTTACAAACATGGTGGAAGGAGAAGAAAACTCATGATGGCCGGAAGGAGAAATGCTGAGCAAAGAGGGAAAAGCCCTCTTTAAAACCATTAGATCTGATGATAACTCACTCACCAGCATGAGAATAGAAGCATGGGAGTAACAGCCCCAGTTATTCAATTACCTCCCACTGGGCCCCTCCCATGGAATGTGGGGATTATTAGGATTACAATTCAAAAAGATTTGGTTGGAGACATGACAAACCATATCATTCCACCATGTTCCAAGTCTCATGTCCTCACATTTCAAAACATAATCATGCCTTCCCCAAATTTCCAAACTCTTTAACTCATTCTGGCATTAACTCAAAATTCCTGTCCAAAGTCTCATCTGAGACAAGGCAAATCCTTTCTGCCTACGAGCCTGTAAAATCAAAAACAGGTTAGTTACTTCCTACATATAATGGGGGAACAGGTACTGGGTAAGTGCTCCCAATCCTAAAGGGAGTAAATGGCCAAGACCAAGCGGCTACATGCCTGTTGGAAGTCCAAAATTTAATAGGGCAATGATTAAACCTTAAAGTTTCAGGATTATCTCCTTTGACTTTATGTTTCACATTTAGGTCGTGCTGATGCAAAAGGTGGGTGGGCTCACACAGCCTTGGGCAGATCTGTCCCTGTAACCCTGTCCCCCTCCTGGCTGCTTTCATGGGCTGACATTGAGCTCCTGTGGCTTTTCCAGGAGCATGGTGCAAGCTATGAATGGATCTACCATTCTGGTGTTTTATGGATGGTGGCCCTCTTCTCCAACTCCACCTTCACAAGGCAGTGCCCCAATGGGGACTCTATGTGAGAGCTCTGACCCCACATTTTTCTCCCTCAATGTCCTAGCAGAGGTTCTCCATGTGGGCTCCATCCTGTAGCAGACTTTTGCCTGGACATCCAGGCATTTCCATATATTCTCTGCAACCTGGGTGGAGGTTCCCAAACCTCAATTTTGACTTCTGTGCACCCACAGGCCCAAGACCACGTGCAATCTACTAAGGCTTGGATTTTAACCTTCTAAGGCAACAGACCAAGCTGTATGTTGGCCCCTTTTGCCACAGCTAGAGTTGAAGCAGATGGGATACAGGACCTCATGTCCTGAGGCTGCATAGAGCAGGGTGGCCCTAGGCCTTTTCCATGAAACCATTTTTTTCTTTCCTGGGCCTCTTGGCCTGTGATGGGAGGGGCTGCCATGAAGGCCTCTGACATGCCCTGGAGACATTTTCCCCACTGTTTTTGGCTCTCATTACTTTTGCAAATTTCTGCAGCAGGTTTGAATTCCCCAGAAAATGAGGTTTTCTTTTCTATTGCATTATCAGGCTGCAAATTTTCAAACTTTTGTGCTTTGCTTTCTCTTGAGCTCTTTGCTACTTAGATATTTCTTCTTCCAGATAGCCTAAATCATCTTCTCAAGTTTAAAGTTCCACATATCTTTAGGGTAAGGCCAATATGCTACCGGTCTCTTTGCATGGCAAGAGTGACCTTTACTCCAATGTGCAACAAGTTCGTCATCATTATTGGAGACCACCTCAGCCTGGACTTCATTGTCCGTATCACAATAAGCATTTTGGTCAAAGCCATTCTACCAGTCTCTAGGTAGTGCCAAACTTTCTCACTTCTTCTTGTCTTCTGAGCCCTCCACATTCCTAGGAAGTTCCAAACTTTTACATGGTTTCCTGTCTTCTTCAGAACCCTCCAAATGGTTCTGACCTCTGTCTGTTACCCAGTTCCAAAGTCACTTCCACATTTTTGGCCATCTTTACAGCAGCACCCTACTCTCTGTGGTACCAATAAACTGTATTAGTCCGTTCTCACACTGCTATCAAGAACTGCCCAAGACTACATAGGTTTAATTGACTCACAGTTCCAAATGGCTGGGGGGGCCTCAGGAAACATACAACCATGGTGGAAGTGTAAGCAAATATGTCCTTCTTCACATGATGGCAGAAGGAGAAGTGCAAAGCAAAGATGAATTAGGCCCTTATAAAACTATCAGATCTCATGAGAACTTACTTCTGAAACCAGAAGCAGATGGATAATCACCCCCATGATTCAGTTTCCTCCCACAAGGTCCCCCCCACAACACATGAGGATTATGGCAACTGCAATTCAAGATGAGATTTGGGTGGGGACATAGCCAAACCATATCACTATGTGTTCTGTAAGTTGTCATGTTTGCTTTGCCACTAGGTTTTAGAACTTCTTTTACATTCTTCCCAGAAGGCCTTTCTGATTTCCTACAATATATTATGTTTTACCTGGAATTGTTAACCCCCAATGTGTATCTAATTATCAGTAATAAGTTTACAGAGGCATTCCTTACAGAGGCATTGATGATCTCTTTCTTAAATGTATTGATATTTTTAGTTTCAAGTCCTTGCTCTGTTCATGACAGTTGGATAGATGCACAGACACCAGAATGTTGGTTTTAGGAAACATTTGTGCACTTCTCTGTGACATCATAGTAACTCCTGTGTTGATTATTTTCAAATAAAACTAATAAATATAAAAATAAGTACATAAAATTAAATTTCTGAATTAGTGAAACCTGATTTTTTCTTTCCTTAGGTCTTCCTTGTAAGTCTCCACCTAAGATTTCAAATGGTGCTGTAGCTCACATGTCAGACAGTTATCAGTATGAAGAAGAAGTTACATACACATGTTCTGAAGGTTTTGGAATTGTTGGGCCAGCCACTGCAAAATGCTTGGGAGAAAAATGGTCCCAACCTCCAGCATGCAAAAGTATGGTGTTTTGAATTTTATTACATGTATGATAAATATTCCTCATTCAAAGTATTGTTACCAATAAACAAGTAAGCAGTGACTCTAGAATTTCACAAGGATTTCTTGAATATTCTGTAGTGTTGTGGGAACTTATAGCTCTAGTAATTAAAATGTTTGACATGACAAGCCAAATTGCTTCATTTTCACATCATTTTGTGTGAACTCTCAGCATCCCCTGATGTACATCCTCAGATTTCTCATCTATGTTCTTAGAGTGCAGCTGTCTTCTATTCATCAGTGTCATCATTATTCAATCTTCTGTCAGTTTAACAACAATCTCCCTATAAGTATATTTTCTAAATGTTAAAAACATTATTATAGGTAATTCACATTGGACAGAAGCAAAAATTCAGGAATAAACAATCTAGGTGGTGTATTACTGTGTTCTCACATTGCTATAAAGAACTTCCCAATACTGGTTAATTTATAAAAGAAATAGTTTTAATTGACTCATAGTTCCACATAGCTGAGGAGGCATCATGAAACTTACAATTATGGCAGAGGAGAAGCCGGCATCTTCTTCATAAGGTGGCAGGAGAGAGAGGAGTGAGCAAAAGAGGAACTTCCAAATACTTATAAAACCATCAGATCTTGTTACGTATAGGAAACTGCCTCCATGATCCAATCACCTCCCACAAGGTCTCTCTCTCAACACCTGAGGATTATAATTCAAGATGAGATTTGGGTGGGAACACAGATGCTAACCATATCAGGTGACAAGTATGGGAAAAAATAATATGAACACTAAATGTGTATTTGGAAGTGCTACAGCTACCAGTATCTCTTCAGGCTTCTAATATCATTCCTATCTTGTATTTTTAATAGATTTAGAACAATTTAATTAAGCCAAAATGGCTAACATATTTTGTCAAGTTATGAGAAAAATATTGCCCAGTATTCACTGATTCTATATTTCACTATTATTTTAGAATATATTACATACATTGTATGTAATCTGTTTTTAAAGAGTTGCTGAACAAATACTTATTTTTCCTATTTCAGGAACGGATTGTCTTGGTGTACCGAGGTTTCCAAATGCCATACCCGAGGGAGAGACGAAGAATTCATATAGGTCGGGTGAGCAGGTGACTTACACTTGTGCAGAGTTTTACCAAATGGATGGACCCAGTACTGTAACGTGTATTAATAGGAGATGGATGGGAAGGCCAACATGCAGAGGTATTTGATGAATTTTTAAAATGTATTTATATAAAGTGTGGTCCCTGCTCAGTGGCACCTGCCTGTAATCCCAGCAGCTTGGGAGACCAAGGTGGGTGGATCACTTCAGGTCAGCAGTTTGGGACCAGCCTGGCCTCCGTGGTAAAACCCCATCTCTATGAAAAATATTTAAAAAATGTAGTGGGGCATGGTGGTTTGTGTCTGTATTCCCAGCTACTGGGGAGGCTGAGGCAGGAGAACACTTGAACCAGGGAGATGAAGGTTGAAGTGAGCCAAGATCACATAACTACACTCCAACCAGGGTGACACAGTGACATTCCGTCTAAAAAGTAAGTTAAAATAAATAAATAGATAAGTAAAATTTATTTATATAAAGTGCCTTAGGCAATAAAATATAGAGTTGTCTCCAGCATTATTTAAAATGAATATAAATTAAGTTTTTAGGGCAGGACTAAATAGATATATCCCTAAAAATAACTGAGTATTTGATTGTTAAAATTAGCCCAATAGTTCGCAAAGTGTGGTCCCTACACCAGCAGTGTCACCATCTTCTAGGAGATTGCTGGAAATGAAAATTACATTTCGTAAGCTCATTCTAGACATACAGAATCAAAAGTCTTGAAATAGGCCCCTGGAACTGGTTTACCAACCCCTCCAGGGAATTCTATGCACACTTCTGTGAGAAACATTGCTATGTACATTCTCAGACTTCTCATTATTACTAAATATTACTTAATAAATAGTAATTGTTACTATACTATTATTAAACATGGACTTGAAACTGTCTGATGAATTTTGCATTGTTCAGCATAGTATCCTTAAACATTGGCAATAAAATTATCTGAAGTTGTTTTGATTCTTTTAGACTTATTTTCTCCTATTTTTCCACATCTCCAATTCGGATCTTTTGATTATCCATTCTTCTTCTCTTTTAACTTGGGTAATTTTCAAAATGTGTTTTTAACTCTTCGCTGATTCGCCAGGAAAATGCCTGTTTGTGTTAATTTTGAAGGGGACAAAATGTATAAGCAGGATGATTGCCAACCCAAATCTGATGCCACATAATCTATTTATGTTATTATTTTGCATTTTATAAATTAATGTTAAATGCATAGAACTGGTAATATTTATGCTACTCAAACTCAAAGAGAGATATCCTGGAAAGCTTCCATTTATACTGGCTTCCAGAAGGAAAGAAAAAGATCTATCAGTGTTCTAGCAAAGGATGAAGAAATTTAAAACATCAAAGCTTGTACCTTAGAAAAAATTTGTATGATGTCTTTTCCTCATTACTACATTTAAATGTATTAAGATCAACAAAAGTTTGATAATAGATTATTTGTTTTAAATTCATTTTGAAATATATCTGTATTATTTTGATTTACTACTCAAAATGAACACTAGGTGAAATTACTTCTTTTCTTTCTATTCAGACAGTTCTTGTGTGAATCCGCCCACAGTACAAAATGCTTATATGAGGGAAAGACAGAAGAATAGATATTCATCTGGTGACAGAGTACATTATGAATGTAGGAGACCTTATGAAATGTTTGGGGATGCAGAAGTGATATGTGTAAATGGAAACTGGACAGAAGCACCTCAGTGCAAAGGTAGAGTATTATATTTCCTTTAACATTTTTGGAGAGTACAGCAGGGTTAAAATATGTTGATTTAAATAAAACAAAGTAATTTCTGTGTAATATATTTTTCAAATGCAAATGAAATAATTGATGATGCTTAAAATTCAATTATTCTTGTGACTGGAACACAAGTAATATGGTATATTAATTTCGAAAATATTTGACCAAATTAAAAGAAGAGTTGGAACTTGAAAAATAATGTATCTTAAGCTTTACAATACTCAGTTCCTTCTGAGGAATACATGTAATAAAAAATACATTATGCATTTGACAGACATAAGACATGTCTACTCTAAGGTATAGAATGGATAGTTGAAGAGAGATAGTAGTTTGTGATATAAATGTGGGCATCTTCAGTATACGGATTATATTCAAAGGTATGTGACTACCTGAACTCATCCAGGGAGCTACCGTATTTATAAAAAGAAGTCTGAGCACATAATCCTGGTTCATTCTAATATACAGAGATGCAGTAAGGGAAACTAACAAAGGAAATTGTATCTTATCGACCTCCATTTCTTAAAATTAATGTTTGTCTGATTTTTTTCATTATTTTACTTAGAATCTACCTTTGTTTTATATTGAAGTGGGTTTTTGTAGACAGCATATATACATTCTGCCTTTCTGGGTCTGGTTTATTTTTATGTTTATGTTTTGAAATTTTATTTTATTTTTTGATGGAGTCTTGGTCTGTGGCCAGGCTAGAGTGCAGTGGCGTGACCTTGGCTCACTGCAATCTCTGTCTCCTGGGTTCAAGTGATTCTCCTGCCTCAGCCTCACGAGTAGCTGGGATTACAAGTGCACGCCACCATGCCCAGCTAATTTTTGTATTTTTAGTAGACGGGGTTTCACCATGTTGGCCAGGATGGTTTTCATCTCCTGACCTCATGATCCTCCTGCCTCAGCCTCCCAAAGTGCTGGGATTACAGGCTGGAGCCACCTCGCCCGGCTCTTTCTGCCTCTCTTGCCCTTTTAACTGGTGCACTTGGACCATTTACACTTAAAATAATTATTGATATATAGGGCTTAAGCCTCTGCCATTTATTTGTTTCTGTTTGTTTCCCTGGTTTCAGTCCAGTTTTCCTATTCCTCCATTCCCCTTGGGGAAAATTTTTAATAAGATTACTGAATTCTGATTCATATGTATGGTTTTTGATTGTATCTCTTGGTATAGCTTTTCTCCTCCTTTAAAAAGGTTGTGGCTCTAGGTAATACTATGTGCATGTAATAATATATCACTGTCTACTGGTGCTGACATCTCCATCTTGTACTGGGATACGAAAATCTTACTTTTATTTAGATCCATGTATCCTCTCCACACAGTAAATATAAATGCCATTAGTATTTTCTGTACATACGTTGTGTACCATATTAAACCATAATTTAACAAACTTAAGGAAAGAAAGCCAGTTATATTGACTCCTCTTTACATTCATTATATTGTCCTTTCTGTCTCCTAAAGTCTCAAGCTCTTTCTGCTATCTCTTTATTTTAATTTGAAGAATTCCTTTAGTTATTCTTTAAGCACGGGTCTACTGGAGAAGAATTCTCTTGGTTTCCCGTTCTTTGAGAATGTCTATATTTGCCCCTTTACTCGTAATGGATAGTGTCACTGTTTATACAATTTGGAATTGAAAGTTCTTTTAACACTTGAAAGCTGTGTCACATGGTTATAGATGAAAAACGCACTGTCATTAGATTTGTTGATCTCCTAGCGGAAGGGTATAGTTTTTGTCTAGTTGCTATCAAGATATTTTTTTGTCTTTTTCTTTAAGTAGTGTTGTTTTAATGTCTATTGGAATAAATCACAATGTGTTTATTCTCTTTGGAGTTCACTCAGCTTCTTAAATATGTAAGTTTATGCCTATGGCCAAAGTGGGAGGTTTTCAGTCATTATTTTATTTATTTATTTTTGCAGCTGATTACCCTTTCCCTTCTCTCTCTGGATCAGCATTATTTATTGTTGTATTTTTCTAAATGTCTCAGTTGAGATTTTTGTTTTCAGTCTGTTTTCAGAGTGGTAATTTATATTGCTCTATATTCAAGTTCATGGATTTGTCATCTCCCAATGTATTATTAAGCCTATCCAGTGTTTTAAAAAATTTTTGTCACACTTTTCCATTTCATAATTTCTTCTGGGTTTTTTTTTTAATCATGCTTTAAATTTTGGGGTACATGTGCAGGTCATGCAGGTTTTAAAAACCATCATCAAATTCAAAATCTCTGCCCTCTTTGTGTCACTCCAAAGTATGTTGAATATAAAATTAGAAACTTTCTTTGTCCTAGTTTTCTATGTTTACCATGTATTCATTCAGAAAGACATTTCATATTTCTGGACTACTGGAGGCAGAAATATTTTTTAATGTTTCATGTGTTTCTTCAGTAAGGAAAAAATAACTTAAATATATTGCTTTCAGTTTGTAAGATTAATATTTCTTCCAGGAATCATTTCTTTCCCCCGAAATCACAACACTGTTGATATTATATAAAGTGATGTGTTTATATTTGCCTTATTTAAATTTGTATTTTGATTTGCTTTCCCAAGAAATCAAGTGATGAAATGATGTTTTTTAGATTCTACAGGAAAATGTGGTCCGCCTCCACCTATTGTCAATGGAGACACTACTTCATTCCCACTGTCAGTATATGCTCCAGATTCATCAGTGGAGTATCAATGCCAGAACTTGTATGAACTTGAGGGTAACAAGCGAATAACATGTAGAAATGGACGATGGTCAGAACCACCAAAATGCCTACGTAAGTCCTTTAATATATCCATGGAATCCTGGAAAAATCAGTGTGATGAGTCTGATAGTTTGCTGTTTGTAACAGATTAATCACAGATTACTGAACAACTATTCTGCTGAATGCTTGCCTAACAAATATTTATGTTATAAAGTCAAGAAATTTTTCTCTTTCTCTTTATATTTTATTTAGAAACATTTACTTAACAAATAAAAATAATATATTTTCATGTTTGGCAATATGCTCTTTTGATGTATTTATAGTACAGTGATTACCACAATCAAATTAATTAGCACATTTGTTATCACCTACGATTACCATTGCGTGTAGGTGGGTGTGTGAGTTATATGTGAGTGAGTTTGTGGTGAGGATACTTAAAATCTGCTTTCTTACCAATTTTCAAATAAATAATACAATACTATTAGGTATAAATATCACTATATCTCTATGTTTGAGTCCAAGTTCTTATTCATCTCATAGCTGAAAATTTGTACTCTCTGACCAATATCTTAATTAAAGAAAAACAGAAATGATAAGTTTTAAAATGCAGGGATCCTAAACTGACAATTGTCATAATGATCCATTGATAAAAAACCCTAATTCTCATACATAAAACATAGTACCTCATTTCCCCGTCATTTACCATTGTAACTTTATTTAAATCAATATACTGTTTTTACGTAGTTGGTTTAGATACTGTTTTGAGAAATAATTCCTGAACCATCATATAACATTCTACTTGAAAAACTGGAAGTCTATGAAGAAGATTTGTATACTAGTTAATGCTTTATGTTCATTGTTTTCTATTTTCAGATCCATGTGTCATATCACAAGAAATTATGAAAAAATATAACCTAACATTTAGGTGGATCGCAGAACAAAAACTTTATGTAAGATCAGGTGAACCAGTTCAATTTGTGTGTAAATATGGATATCGTCCTTCACCGCGTTCTCAAGATTTTCGAAAAACATGTGAGGATGGGAAACTGGAGTATCCCACTTGTGTATAAAACAATCAGAATTAAAATCCACACCTTTATTCAGAACATTATTATTAAATCAGTTCTCAATTTCATTTTTAAGTATTGTTTTATTCCTTTTTATTCATAAGTAAAATTTTGGGTTGATTTGTGAAAATGTGCTTATAATCTGAGACCCATGGCCCTCTTCTTAAAAGCTCCATATTAAAACTTGGCAAATAAACTGTTGTGTCCAGTTCATGAAATTTGTATGACAAGAAACGAGATACGATTTTTTTCAGACTTCGTTTTTGTCCATCACTCTTAAATCTCTCAAAGCTTTCTCCATAACTGCTGAGGCTCATTGTTTTATAGTAAATGGAAAACGTATTGTGTGTGATTTCAAAATTATATCACTTCACGATGATGTAGAAACCTCACCAAGTCTTAAATCATGTTAGTAATAAGATACAAGTAATTTACTGCTTATAATACATAAATGCATCAAAATGATGAAATGGAGTTACTTTCACAAGATATCAAGCTAGAACACATAGTAATGCAAACTAATCATCAAGAGGATTTAAAATGTAATTGGGTATATAACTATTACAACATAGACATATGAAAAATAAAAATACAGTATTAGTTATAAACACGGATGCACTCACCTGCAAACGCATAAAATGATAGCTTTGCTCTGAATTGATGTTTATAGCAAAAATATTGCCAGGATTTAAAAGTATAGATAAAATTCTATATACGCGTTTAGCGATAATAGGGGTAAATGTTGTAGTTAAATTCCTTTGTATGTATCAGTATTATCTGACTTTTCTCCCTTTAACATATATCACATTTGAACCTCAAGCAAAATTTATTTTACAATAATGATATCTAATGACCAAGGTGGTACATGTTGAGAATGACAAAGAGGTCATGGGTAATGATCTTACATCAGATAACTTTTTAACTATTTTTGGAGTAGAAGAGCTTTGGCAATTTCAATAATAAAGTTCTGAAATGCAATATTTATAGTCATTCATTTTAACTAGGATTAGTTAGTTAAATCATTTTTGACTAGGAAAATTTTACACTACTAAAGGAGGTGAAGTAATTATGTAAAAACCAAACCAAGTCTTATTTTAGTAATGATATAAGTAATTACTACTTATCAATACATAAATGCAATAGAAATGATGAAATGTAGATACTTCTGCAAGATGTGAATCTAGCACCCAAAATAATTTGAATTAATTATAAAGAGAATTTATGATTTGAAATCAGTATTTATTATATGCCATCAATTTATTTTTTTCTTATCGATAATATGACAAAATTATTATTTAATAACACCTTATTACTTCTCTTTTTATAAAGTCAGGAGGCTTATATACTCAGATTATCTCTTTGTTAGTGATCCTGATTTAGATAATTTGGTTGAGTTGAGGAAAGCCAGATTTCACAATTTAAAGGACATTTGTTAATAATTACCAAGTTATGTTTGTGATAATGTTAACATTTAAGAATATATATTTATTCCTAAATTGTTTTAGTGTATTTGGGTCACTATAAAAATTACCATAAACTGGCTAGTTTATGAAAACTAGAAATTATTTCATACAGTTTTAGAGGCTGAGATTTCCAAGATTAAGATGTTAACTGATCTGATGTCTTGTAAGAACTTGCTCCCTGTTATGTAGCTGGTGCCTTCCCACTATGTCCTTACAATCTGCAAGGTACAAGGGAGTTCCATGAGGCTTCTTTGTAAAAAGACAAATCCAATCTGTGAGAGTGGAATTCTCATGACCTAATCACCTAAAAAGTCCTCACTTTCTGATACTATCACCATAGTGATTAGGATGTAACATGAATTTTGGAGGGACACTACTATTCAGATCATAGCACAGCATAGGGATAAACAAACATATTCCTTGTAAGTGGAAACCAAAAGAAAGCAGGGTGGCTATA